GGTGAAGGCGTTGGACTTGTGATACCGTGTTATAAAAGACAGGTCCGTAGACTGGGCAGGCCACGCTGACGTGCCCACGCATGTGCACGGGTAGCAGTACGTTTGTGCATAGTTTTTGGTGGTTTACCGTAGTACTGTATCGTATGCCATGACAGTACAGTGTTGTTCAATTGTTTGTCGTAGTTTGCGTGCGTGCGTGTGTGCATGAGTTCGTGCGTATTACTCTCTCCTTGGCAAAAAGCCGCATAGATCGCCTGGGAAAAATCTTGCCCCAAAAAACCGAGATACAACTCACACTAGTCATAATTTGCAGGAAATACCACTTGTTACTGTCATCGGGGATCTATTTCTGAAATTCATTTAGCTTAACCTCTTAGAGGACTTTTTTTCTTCTTTTTCACTTTCTGCCTGATCTGTTGATTTTCAACACTTTCGTGTCGCAAATGGAAATTAATCAATTAATTTATTTACAGACACAACTGTCATCGTAAGAGAATCGGCATCTGGCTCTTAAATGTTAGAATATACAGTTTTCTCTTCAATTATCTTGGAAAATAATAGAAAAAAAGTAAGTTTTTTTATGGAACGATCTTACTGTTATGTAACAGCGCCGTGCAGGCTACTGGTACAGTATAAGCCTAATGTCAGCTGCGTGAGGTCAACTTGCAGGTTCGAAAAAATGCGAGTATACTATTGAAAATTATGCTTGTTTATTCAATTTATATTTCTTCACGATTCATGGAAGTTTCATGAAGGCTACGGATTGAATAAAATGCATGAAGCCATTTTGAAGGTGTTTTAGCAATATTATGAAGGAATACTGTAAAATTTTCAGTACTTTACTGGTAGCGCGGGTACCAAACTGAATTAACACCTTTATGACAGTAACTTGATCAATGTTACAATTTTATTGGATAGTAATTAACTATAAAAGTTACAGTAATTGATCACGGCTAAGTTATATTAATGAAGAGCGGGCACGAAAAACAACCATTTTCGTTGATAATGTGTATAGTTCAATTACGGATTCATTCTACACGTTTATGTTCAAGTATAATTATGTATAAGGTTACGACTCCCTTACCTCGTATCCAGATACATTTATCTTGATCACGGCTGCACTTCATTTACGTTATTAATGTATACTCCTTTGATGTAATCATTGGCGTTTACATGCAAAACTACACCCACACAGCACATCAGACACTTGTCAAAATAATGTCAAAAGTTTACGTAAAGGGTATAAAATGGTAAAATTACTTGACAAAGTAACAACGCCCCATTCATGGCAATATGCAAACTGGAGTCCAATTTTACACTGGGAAACATTTCTGTCAACTAACACAGTATCGTGCTGAATTTCACAAAAGTACAGTAAATACGTGCAATAAACACGTTAGTTTACTGTTGGTGTTAAGGTCGTTTGCAGTGAATAGACTGGCTGACAAAGTATAAAAAGGAGTGAAAGAACCTTGCATAATTTATGAAAGACCTGCAAGGAAAAAAGTGGGTTTTCTGCATCTTGATAATCCACATATTGGACGAATAGGGCCAAGTGACGAACTTAGTCTCCAGAATCTTGGATATACGAGCCACTGATGAAATTTCAATCAACTATTTTGTTCGTGTTGACGGGGTATTAACGGGCTTCGAATTAGCTCCAACCTGTACGCCACCATCAGAGGAGCGCTCTCTTCAGGCTGACGGGGCCAGCTATCACAGAGCACTTTTACAACAAACAACGACTCGTTACGTGGGGTGCACTAGGGGTCAGACCCGTTTTAGCGAATTGAAAAATCGACAAGTCAGAAAATGATGACAGGTTGGAGGGATATGAGATCTCAATTACGACCGAAGCTTGGTTTTTCCCTTGAGCTGGCCGACGAACTTGAATACGGACGTTAACCTAGTACTGAACTACCTTTTCTAATTACTAGGAATTCTCAAAGGATCGTCAGAGGATTGGGAAAACTTTCGAAAGGAGGAAAATGGGTACACTGGCTAAGGGCCAGGTTTTGCAAAACGTGTAAGTACGTAATCACTTGATAATGTAAGTTTAGCTAGCAGGTAGGGCAGTTGGACTTGAAGGGAATTCAACAGTTTGATCCATTCAATCAAGTGGGATCGATAAAGTACTGGTTGGCATACCAGATGGACTTTACATTCTCATCTACAGTAATCTTGCAGAGATCCTGTGGTAGACCGCTAAACGATTAGAAACTGGAGCACACCGCGACTGTGGTCGTGTCACGGGTGGTCGATAAACGGTGGCTAATTCCTTGGAAAAATCACAAATTTCGTCAGTATTGGCCTTGCTCTCGGTCTCATCTTGGACCTTTGAAAGGACGTAGTGGTGGGAATTCTGAAATTTCATTTCATAATAAATCTATTTTTGGAAGAAGGTTTTATAATTTGACAAAAAATCATCCAAATCATCCAAACAATACCATCTGAAGTTCCTATATTTAATTCGTCTCATGGAAAATTTAATATTCAAAAGTTCAAGTTCTTGTCAAGGCAGTTTATCTCAAAGTCAAGCATCGTTTGCCAATAAATTTGTCCATCAGCAAGAGCTGCAAGTTCTGCTAACTTAGCGCATCATTTGCCTTACTTGTAAGTCATATCTCGAAGGATAAGCTGTAATACCCAGCGGCCTGGGCCGGCCCGCTTAACTCGTTTCCCGTCAACTTTCTATGACCCCGCTTCTTCATGTTTTCTCTCGGTTCTTTCCTCTCCCTTTCGAGTACAGAAAAAATGACTGAGTCGTTATTGCTTGCGACATTTTCCTGACAATGTTGACAAACAATAATGATGCCTGTTATCTTGTCAATACATTTTTGGTGAGTATGTTTACTTGAGGAGGATGTGACGCATGACACAATTATTGTTATGACTAGCGTCCTCTCGTGACCATGCGCAAAATGCAAAGGAGGAACACGACAATGTGGTTGAGGAAACAGCTAGGAGTTACATATTTTTACTCACGGCATAAACTTCTCACTTAGGAGAAAAACTGAGATCTGATAAGGCACGACTAGTGATTAATATACCAGGGTTATTTCTCCAGACGAGTCCCAACGTTTTAGAATGCTCTACCTCACGCACGTGTCTGCAAAGTTCTTACATGTAGCTCAAGATTGATCATCATCGTCGTCAGCGCTCTGTAATATCCATCAGGTGTTATTCCAATTGGCGTAACAAACCGAGAGTTTGTTCATTGGGTATTGAAAAATGAAAATAAAACATGCCTGTGTTATGATTTTGGCAAATGAGGACATCGGATGAACTTTAAAGTAAAGAAAACTTCTTTTAAACTTTAAAGCAAAATCATCCCGCGTAATGAAAAGTTAAATGTCTTTGACGGAGACTTTTGCCAGTGTAATCAAATGATAGATGAGCTTCCTAAACTACCACATGAAGACTATATCACTCCAACACCTCGTTGTGAACTTTTTAAGACCAGTTTTAGTTACAGAACTCCCATTTTCATGAGCAGCCTCCCAGCAATGTTGCGAAGCTGTTGCCCATGAGTAATTCCGTCTTCGCTTCAAAAAGATCGCCTTTAACATGAATGTTTGGAATTGCTTTTATTGCTGTATTCAAATGTTGCTTCCTGGTCAGTAGAAGGAATTTATCTGATATTGATAGGTTCATTTAATTATATTGTAATTCAGTACTCTGTAAGACTGTTAGTTTGTTCGTACTTTATTCTTATATCTTTTACTTAAACATCTTAAATCTTTATGTACATTTTGGTAGTTCTTATCTACTATCTACTTCTTTTGCTTGAAGTTTTTGTTTATAGGTTTTGGTTGACTGTGGTTTTAAATGAGGGCACTAATAATCAGCCTGGCGCTGGAAGGGTTACCCTCAAAAAGATTAAGTTTTAACATATAAAATTCAATAAACTAAATCTTAATTCCAACTCTGTGTGTTGTTAAAGTTTCAGGATCTTGTCATGTAAAATAATTAATATCGTTCGAAAGTAAATAAGAAAGGAACCCTCATTAAAAAAGAAAGGAAAGAGTATCACAGTGCAGTGTGTGATTTAAAATTGCAGAAGATTTTTAGTGACATACTGACAGTTTTTATTGTGTCGTACCAGATGCATGATCTGACCTATACATAACCTTACATAATCCTCAAACTGTCTGGCACACAATTTGCATTAATGTCAAATATGATTCCAGTAAAAGCCTTTAATTTGACATTTCTATAATTTTCCACTTCCAATTTTCATTGTCCTCTACTAACCATTTATTCTTCTTTTTTTCTTTTTCTTTTTTTTTTTGGTTTTTTTTTGGTTCAAGGGAAAAGAAACCCATTTATTCTTTTAACCAATGAAGTACATTAACCTTGATATTTCCCTGTAGAACATCTCGAACCCGTCATCCGATTGCGTCATTTTGTGCCATCCCTGTGATGGAATTCGTCACCACAAGGTCAAAGGAAACCACTGAACTTTTTATGAACTTTCTGCGTTCATGGATGCACTAGAAAAATCCCCATTTTCTTCACAAAAATGAAGGGGAAAATTAAAGGATGGTCACAGGGTTCAATATAGCGTGGAGTCAAAAATAACAGCAGAAAATCGCGTGAGAAAGTATATCAAATTGTTAAGTTTGATAATTGTAGGCGCGGAGGTAAATAACACATAGAATCCAAAACAAATTGCATGGGAAACTCAAGTTGGCAAGAGGAGCGCATAAATCCAGGCTGTCGAGGCGCTGTAATCTGTGCACAAGTGCACGCTAATTATCTAATAGCCTCGGTATCAATATCCCGCTGATTAATCACAGATGATGAAAGATTGATGGCCAAAAGCTTTCCCAAAGTCATTAAATAGAAATGGACTGCGTTGTATTTTGACTGGCAGTCAGTTGATACTGTGAGTATTCGTGCAAGCTACAGCTGAAATCATAAATGGCTTGTCGCAGTGACCAAGATAAATGGACAAATTCAAAGAGGTGGGGAAATTAGAAAAAATTAGGAAGACTTACCACAGACTTTACAGAGAAACTTCAATGCGGTTCTTGTGAAAACATTCACCTGTTGACAACAGTGAAAACATACCCGTTAAACTTTAACCGATGGAAAGAAGTTGCATTAGTTTACTAGATGGGTTGATTAAAACAAATTTGAAATAGGATCTAAGGCTCAGAATCGAAAGCCGGGGGAAGTCGGAGCAGGACTAGACAGCAAAATGAAAGGAAATTCGAATACAAGGTCATGGTGACAAAACTCGTATATATGACGTGAAAGGGCGAAAATAATTGATTGGAAACGAGACACGGTAAACGTGTTTTTCAGCGCAGGGAACTCTCAATTGACAAATGGGAAAATGAGTGAAATTTTGATCGAGACACTTCAGAAAACGGCTTTTCAACAAAATGTAAAAATTTAGAATAAAAATTAGGACAAATTTTGAAGAACGGCAGTAATTATGTGAACAATTCCAAATGTACGAGGCAGGAGCCAAAGAAATTACCTTAAAAACCAAATGCTGAATGAAGTGTGATCATGGCACTAGGTTTTCATATCAAGAAAATTTTTACAGCAAAATTTAAGTTGATATTTTAACTAAGTGTAACATAACTACTGACCTATCTCTCCACATGGTTTCTAAGCTTGCTTCACGATGGCTGTTGAAGTCCCCAAACTATCTCTGAGCTTGGGGTGAATGCTTTATCTCTTTTATATTTTCAACTGTGGGCGCAGTTTCTTTTCAAATTCATAAAAAGGTGCATTCATGACTATAAGGCCTACGCCACCTGGTGATAGTTAAATTGTGGACTCTAAAACGTCATCAACTTTCCACCCGTATAAACTACACCTGTGAAGCGTGGGTTATGTTGGTTCTCAATGATACAGGAACGAACGCAAATAACACTACCAGGAATTGTGACAATTTTCGCTTTCCAAAGTACCACGTATTTGCCTGTCAACACATCCGCTGAACTTACGTAAATGAACAAAGCAGGGATTTTCCTATGATGTATTTCTTTTAGAGCTTCGACTTTTAACAATGCATATCGTTTATAAACGACAGCTATCTATTTTAGTTTGTTTCTTGCAGTCATCCCGATCTGACGTAATATTCCTTGAAATGAAGATATAATGAAATACCCCGTTAAGTTCTTGTGAATTTTATTTTGGGTACTTGAGGGTTATACATTCATATAAACAAGTAAGCGGAAATGTTTGAAAGTTCATTTCGTGGAAATTGAAACAATTGTGATCCTGTTCAGCAACACAGTGAAGATAAACAAACAAAAAGTACTTACTTTTGACTGACGGCTGTGTTCGATGTTTGACAAAATTATGATGTGTGATGCTTGCTGGTCCAATTATATAAAGATCTGACGGGTGGCTCTGATTGGTCGGCACCGTCAGGTTGTAAGCAAATCACGTCAAAGTTAGACACCAAAATTGGCATACTGCCGACTTCTCGGAGAGTGAAGGATTGGCAATACCCATGCAGCGTTGTGAAGTCAACCGGAGGGCACCCCAAGGCTCTTGGGAGGTTGCTAAATCAAGAAAGAAGGGGAAAGAGAACATGTAAAAGAAAATCACTCTGGAGTGCACGCATAACTGCAGGTTCTGGTTAGCAGCTGGAAATCTGGGCATAAGAACTATTTTTTTTACAAAAAAAACTTCTGAGAATTGGTTCGAGTTCCTTGTTGGGAAGAAAATCCCAGGATTTACTGAACTCGATTGTACTTACCGTAATAGTGAAAAAATCGAAATATCCTTGCCATACTTTCACTGTGATAATTCAACTTAGGGCTGCAGCGTGCATGCTTGTTTGTAGTCGTGTACACAGACAGAAAAATCTTCAGAGAAAAGTATTTTGCGTGTAAAGAGAACGCTCATAGAAAGCGCCTGGTAGCTTGATATGATGCAAGACTTTATGCAAAGTGAAGTTTAAGAATTAGCTTCTGGCTCAGCTGCTTTGCAGGTATATTAACACTGTACTTGTGTTATCTGACTTTATGGAACTGAGTAGTGACTTTTGCGATATAGTTATCCCGTTGATATGGGACTCAATTGGAGATACTGTTATCATTACAATGACGCACATTTTCCGAAACACCAATGTGGTGGCAAATCGCCCAACGTAGGTTGACATTGCTCACATATTTCATGAAATCAGGCACATTAGATTTAATTATTTAGTCGTTTGTCCCCAATTTGTACGAAACTCCACTGGGCCAGAACACTGCCACTGTCCACACGACATTAGATCCTGAGAACAATCCAACCGTCTGTTTTAACCATAATACATGCACAATCAATCAGGGCACGAATCAAAATTCCATCTTTTGGGATGTTGTTGTGTGATACACTCTGGCTATATAGGCGTAGAGGTCGATTCCTGCTTTCCGCAAATCTTTAACCCACATGGGAGAAGCGAAGGGGACCACGTTTTTCTCATTTTGCCTGCTGGGTACTTGGGGGAGTACGCCCAGGCTAGCTGCAAGCTGCGTGTGACGGTTGTGCGCTGGACCCACACAGGGCATGAAAGCAAGACCCCACCGTGAACTTTCCCTTACGTTCCGGAATGATTACGGAATCAACTTGGGACATCTAGTCATTTGGCTCGAAAGTAAAAGGCATGTAAAGGGCTCGGATAATGTATAGACAGGCTCTAAAAAGCAAAAATCCCCTCCCTGGCTTGGCAAACTGCCGATAAACTGACTCAGTGGCATTTCACATCACCGATGGAAGCCTCGACGGAACTACTTTGTTAAATGTATCACACCGGGACATGAGCATTAGTTTATCAGTGGTTCAGCACCAACCCATAAGAGACAAACCTTCCTCATTTGGACCAACACAGGTGTTCTGATATCTGGAATAAAAAAAAACAATGCTTGCTAAAGCACAGACAACAAATCTTGGCTCCTGATATTTTGTTTACAGCTATTTTCGCATGTCATTCAGCATGGTCGTAAATCCCGGGGATGGGGTAGACATTCCCCCACTTTTTGAGGGGGTGGGGCTATTGAATCATCCCCCCTCCACTTTTTTGTGGTGAGCAAAAAAAAAAAAAACGTAAAAAATAAAGCGGATTATGAAGACTTTTTCGGACTTTTAATACTTAATACTTTCGGAATAATACACCACTCTGATGTAAGATTTTGGATGTAATAAGCATTACAGACATACATCTGCATCATGAACATGCCCTTATGTAGTGCCATACAGTGTAAATTCCCCAACCCCCCTTGTCCAATTTCAATGACCAAGCAAGTCATTCCCCCCCCCACACACAAATCCCCATTCCCCACCCCCCCCCAATTTCCGGCACAAGTTTACATCACTGTCATTCAGACACGTCAGTCATTGTCAATTTTTTATGCACATGTTTTTCTCAATCGAAATATCATCTGCATAAACCAAAAGGCCCCAAAGGAAATCAAAATGTTTTCATTTCAATATAAAATTGAAACTTAGACAAGACCTGACAGGCCCGTAGGCTGGGGGGGGGTTATATCATTCGCTCGCCGTCACCCAGCGCCCAATTCAAGGTGCAGGTTGAAGAGAAAATTCATTACCAGGCCAATTTACAATCCGCCGTGAATATTGAAAATTGAAGTAGGGGACCTATGCAAGTCTTACATGCATCCTTCGGTTCACGACAAACATGGAACTTGTTGATGTTGTGCTCCAAAGCACATTATGATAGGCCTTTGTATAAAAATATGTGTTCACAGTGCCAAAAGTTCCCCTTTTGGGTTTGACGAACCCCCCCCCCGTGGTCAGGCAACGGGCCTGGCTGGCCGCTGCAACATTGAACGTCATGAAAATGAGATTTTCAGAGAAAGAAGATTTTGCACGTGACAAAACCACTTTCTCTAACACGGGAAAGCGAAGTTAATTTTAACACAATTAACGAACGTGCTTTAAATTGGGCGGGAGTTCTGGCAGAGCAAAACTCTTTTGGAAAAAATGCTCTTTCATATATATCTGACAGTCCATCTGTTCGTAACATTTCAATAAGTCTTGCTTAAATCGAAACCCACGTGATGACATCGCATGGGCCATTATACTGAATACAAGGATGGGTTTTCTTCCGGTAAGAAAACGGATTAAGAATACTAGATAAACGTCACATTTCACATCAATGTGAGGGAAATGTTTTCAAGATGTAAGCTCACATTTCTATTATTCCGATGGCCCGCAAGACAACGTTTGATAATCGTGATGTAACTAGGGATATTTGCTGTTCCTTGAAAAACTCAGTTTACTGTCATCCAGATATTAATCCAGCACGTTTTGTTTCCCTTAAACAGCCATTCTCCTCAAACACGAGAAGTCATTGGTTTGCCTGTTCCAAAGTAGTCCTCATTCGCTTTTACGTGTTATTAGACGTCACTGGCAGCCTTGTTCCGGTAAAGTCCTCATCCGGTCTTAAATCATACCTCAAGCGGGCCTGCGCAGCCAAACACTGCACTGATTTCCCGCCATGATTCTAGTGACAATGTCTCTGTAAGTCTGTCACTCACTCATGTGACCAAATTGTATGGTGGGCGTCAAGCCTACAGCGATAACCAAAAACATCATGTCCTGAACTTGAAACAGTGGCTGTAAAGTAAGTCAGAGCATAATTATGCAAAGCATTCTAGACAAGGTTTGTGTACAAAGAGCAGGTAACATGCGCAAACTGTAGTTTTCCAAAGACTATAGTGCGGGAACTTATGCTTACACAAATAGATACAAACATATTAGGAATTTTTGAACGGCTAAGATTATAAAATAATTGTATTATAGGTTGGTCACTGGGACGGAAACATTCATTCGTCTAGTATACAACGGCTTGTCTTTGATGTGATGCACATTCATGATTATCAGACTTGAGAAATACGATTGTGCTTATGGCAGTGGTGATGTTGAAAGTGGTAAAATATAATAATTATGTGAAGACTTTGACAAGGCACGCCATGGTAAGACTGTCCTTGCGTGACCTACATCGCCCGGGACTTTATTAAACACTCATTGCCGAAATAAAGGACTGTATTTTTAGCAAATGTTCACGCTTCCGATATCCATCAAATCAATCCCTGGTTGCGACGTAGTAACGTCTCATGTGGTCTGTGGCAAATTGTAGTATATCTAAAATTATGGCCAAGTCTTTTCTGATACATCACGACATCCATCAGTGTCAAAAGACATATCAACACGGCACTGACATCTGACGACTTGTCACGATAAAAACTGAGGTAAACAGCTGAGTTAAGACCGGATTATGCTTCAGGTGAACACAAAAGTAGACCAAATTTGACGTCAAAAATGGTTGCAGCGAAATTCGTTGGAACTGTTGCGAATTTGCAGCAAATGTATTTGACCCAGCTGATGTCCCGATTTTGCCTTCGCGTTTGCTGTAAGTATAAACCCACCTTTACTTCAAAAAGCCAGGGAGTAGGAAAATGGATGGAATTATAGAAGTTGTAAAATTTTGGGATAAATACTACGTGGTGTTTATGAAAAGAACTCACTGGTGTCATATTTAAAACAGGTTTCAATTATTACGTAAAAAAAGAGAACTTGAATCATTCACATTCGAGAACAGTTTTCCATAACTCAAAAGCTTCCTGGTCACAGTTTAAGTCTACTCAGTTAAACCAAGACAAATTTTCGGCCGACTCAATATCCATCTTTAAACTTTATAAAAAAGATTGGTGTTACAGCTATCAATCCTAACCACCAGTAGTTTGTCTATTTTCAACAAACTTTTGCCGCCAAATGTCGGCTTAGTATCCCAGTAAACTTATATAACAATTTGTGATTGAGTAAGACATTGCGCAGAACAAATCTTCTCCAAACACTTTAACTAAATTATTGCGGTTACTCATCAACCGCAAACAGTTGAGTGCAATGCAGAAAAAAAAGCACGACCACTCCCTGAAGGTTATTTAAAGTTCAACGTCAAGCTTTCCCCCAATCTCACTGACCTCTTGATGAAAGTACCCAAGGGACAGATAGAAACATGCGGCGCACGTTCGTTACGTCTACCTGGTCTGTTTACAGCCGTTATTCATGCCCAACTTTGTAATTGAACCATTCCCTCTGACATCCATAAATCTTTCTGTGCAATCATGCTCGTAACTCGTTTTGTTTATTGGAATTTTAATATTTTGAAACTTCTACAGGAACGATGACGTTTATGAAGTCTCGGCGGCTAACGGTATGTTTCTTTGATTTGAAGTTAGAGCCAATTTTATGGCCAAAGTGGTAAAGCACTCTCCTGTCAGATACCTGATGGACTGCACAGGAGATGACTTCATGTGTAGATCACAAACTTGTACTTTCATTTCTGGTTCTCTTATTTTATACATACATGTACATGTATATTAAGAACACCCTGAATTATGGCGTCCGAGAACCTTAAATTTGTCTTTCTGCGCTGTGAATTAACCACAATGTATTTGTTTATTAATTATAACTTTCAAGTTAAGGCAATCAGGATTGAAGATAGAGACCTATCAGTGAAATTCCCAAGGTTTGAGTGGCTGCCATTTTTACCTGTTTTCTTGTTCTTTACGTTAGAAATACACCAGGAATTTGTTTTGCTTGTGATAACTAATAGGATGTGTGACAACAACTGCTTTGACTTGACGTTTGTTTCATAACTTTTGTATACCAAGGCTGAAATTGCCCGTTTCTCGCTCCACCTGAAAATCCCTCTGGGTCAGGAAGTAAACAAAACTCTCAATTTTGGCTGTGTACGGAGCTTAGGACTCTGTATGGGAATCATGCCAAAATTTGGAGGAAAAGTTGAATAATTTGCTGACTATGTGGGTCTCAGTCGCATGAAACGACAAAACTGAACGACCTTGGCTGCTTTTCAACAAAGCATGAATAACAAATACTTGGCACGTAAGAATCGCGAGTGCGCCAGTTTCCTTTGAGTGCGACATAATTAAGATGTGCATATACACGTCTTTGTCCTTACATAAATCAATAAAAGTTAAATGGTATTCGTAACCCCCCCAAAAAAAGTTTTTAATAATACTCTTTCCACCGACTTGAGTTGCCTAATTCCAAGACTGAGGAGTACAAAGCTGTAGGACTGACGTTTCATGATGGTTCACACAAAGATAAAAATATGTAAGCAACTAGTATTCAAACATTATCAAAAAAAAGGAAGGGGACCAGCACCGTGACGCACCAGTGACTTAAACCAGTCCAGTTATGCCCTCAATTCGACATCATAAATCACTCATTTGGGTTCATCTTTTGAATGTCAACAAAAAATAATCCCATGGAAAATAGCAAGAGGGATTTCAGACTCGGGTCAAAAAACATTTCTCAGTCAATTTCCGCAAGTGTATGTATCATTCAATTAATTTTAATTCAGTTAAGACTGACTTGGCTATAAATATGGAGGTCACTGCGCTGCAGAATAAGCCAAAGATAAAATGAATCATCAAACGTTCCCATATAAACATATCAAACCAGGCTACCCAGAGCAATATTTTATGAAATTATCTTCGACATGGGTCTGTTTTCTTTGGTTGTTGGTCTTTTCTAGGAGTTTATAATCAAAATTACACAGTGTGGTTCAGAAAACGGCATCGTTCATTTAATACACATTTTGTTACTGACTCACTACTCTAGGAACTTTATCAAATGATACAATAGCAGTTATCCCCAAGAAAAGTACAAAGCACATATAAAAACCATAATGTAATACTTGGACAAAAATAACTGCAGCTCAGCCATTAGATTTTTTTATAATGACGTGATGCACAGTTTCTTATCATTAATACAAATCTGAATAGTGATTCACTTACACAAGTTGAATTGGTGTAGGTTTCCTGCCAGGACAAATGTGTAAAGATACAGAAAACTGCGAGGTTTATCTTTCACGGATCTTTACAGGTTACCGTCACAGAGAAAATATTTTTTCAGCAACAATAGACCCACACATCATCCAACAACGTACATTCAGCGCCGGTACCCTTAAAATTGTTGGAGTTTGGAAGTAAATAATGACGCACAAAAGCAGGCGTATGCTACTATTTAAGATAATGCTGTTTTTGAAGGAAGTGTCAATCATGAAAGGTAATTGATTGCGACAAGATGTAAGAGTTTTAAGGCGAAACAAACAATCTGTGCCTGACGATGCCTCCGGTTGTTGTTGGTTACCCGCCAAATCCGTACAAGGTCCGTCCTTGGCGCTTGAGGGCGTATACCACATCCATTGCTGTGACAGTCTTCCGCTTGGCATGCTCGCAGTAGGTCACAGCATCACGGATTACGTTTTCCAGAAACACCTTGGACAATAAAAACAGTATCCACATAAGACTGTGCAAAAAAGTATTACAAACGACATCTAACGCTACTCAGTGTATCTATCCAAGTTTCAACAATCGTGCAATATCGCAATTAAAGTCACTGTGTGTAAAATAATGTTGAAATCGGAAAATTTAGTATACGAAGCTTTTTCATATCGATAGGTGAAAGAAAAGTCTGGGGAAGAAATCTTCGTTTTCTCCGTGATCGTTCGCAAGTGAAAACAACTTCCTTCAAAACACAAAAAGTTTAAAATTCAATGACTGATTGAGAATTTGGTTGGGATGATTTCTCCCATTTGGTTGGATAAGGTCTTACCTGTAGGCTTGGGTTGGAGACGTGGCTAACTTCCACGCGTCAACATGGCGTCTGTCTATTCATGCACGTGCAAGCTCGGGCTTAATTAACTATTTCTTTTCGTTAGAACTGATGTTTTTTCGCCCATAACGAAGATTTTGACCTGAGAATTATTTGTCACTTTGTCACTGTAAAAGCTCAGTATTTTAGCGCAGTTAAGTTTAAGATTTACAACAGCACATTACAGCCTAGGGGTAAGAAAATGATACCTGTGACTAGTGGGATTGGAAGGTCAGTCAGTTTAATATCCGTGCAAGATTCGTTTTCGATTCCCAACCCTTAAATTTCATTTATACTGCGCAGTAAGTAAAAGCAAGCGGGTTTTATTTTGAGTTTCAAGGTCAAAATGGGTTACAGAAAAAAAAATCAAATTAATGGCAACAGGGCAAGATGTAATTCCTGTATACTTGCCTTGAGCACACCTCTTGTCTCTTCGTAAATTAGACCTGAAATTCGCTTGACTCCCCCCCGGCGTGCCAATCTACGGATGGCTGGCTTGGTGATTCCTTGAATATTGTCTCGAAGGACTTTACGATGTCTCTTTGCACCTCCCTTGCCTAGTCCCTTCCCTCCTTTTCCTCGACCAGACATGATTCTTGCAGCTCCACAAGGCGTCAGCAAAGCTAGTAACAAAGCAACAACATGTCCACCCAGCTCTAGATCCGCGGCAGACGTTCTGTTTAAATTCTTGTATTGCGGACGTATTTCAAACACCGGCAAGGGGCGTTGGTAAAGTGACAAGCAATGAAACAATTTCCCGCGATTTTAAGGGAATCGACAGAGGATGCAACTTAATTCAGAAAATCTGCTTGGCGTTTTTTAAGCAAGCACGCACAATACATAACACACAAGACAAAATAAAAGCACTGACTTACCCAACTCGGCTCGTGACGAAAAGTGGGGGTACTGTAGCTTGCATTGTCTTGTGACAATGCCGACTATACAGGAAGGCGTTCTGCAATGTGGAGCGGGAATTTTAAATGCATTTTTCAGCTGTAGCAAGCACGTGGACTATGCAATGTAGCACATTCTATTTTCATGCCAGGGAGGGTATACTTGAATACTCTGATATAACTTCCTTTCTTGATTCCATACGAACCGGTTTAAATTGATTGAAAAATTATGGAATCGTAATATACTGATAGCGTGAAACAAATTTGGGTTCACTGATTTTAGGATTTTTTATCCTTACAAAAGTACAAGCGCGGGAATTCTGTCTCCTTGTCCCCAAACCTAAAATGGTATGGATCTTCTTACCTATATAAGGGCAGCGTCGCCCGGCAAGTGCTCTGGTGGGCATTTCTTTCGATCATCTTTGCATCACGTCCGACTACAAATCCCGAATTGTTGCGAGAGAAGTTGAGTTGCTTAGTTTGATTTGTCTTCACCTCAAATTTACGATGTCTGGACGCGGCAAAGTCAACAAGAAATCGAAGTCGACATCGCGAAGCTCAAGGGCAGGTTTACAGTTCCCTGTCGGTCGTGTTCACAGATTTCTCAGGAAAGGTAAGTCTAAAGGGTCCTTTCAGTACCAGGAAATCGTTTTCCGTCTTTGTTGCCAAGGTCCAACGAAGTGTGGACTTTTGTATGACCTGTTCCTACTTCTCCCTACATCAAATCTCTGCGACGGACTGACTAGTATACAACATTATTTGGCAGCAGAATATTCCATATTAATACTTCTTGCTCAAATGGGTCATGAAGAACTTCGCTATCAATTATTTTTCTCGTCGAATGGCACAAAATAGCATTTCATTACTAATAGCCAATTCTCTCGGTTTATGGTTCTTTTCCAGGTAAATATGCACATCGTATTGGCTCCGGTGCAGCTGTGTACATGGCTGCCATCTTAGAATATTTGACAGCTGAAATCCTGGAGTTGGCCGGCAATGCAGCACGTGATAACAAGAAGAGCCGTATCATCCCACGCCATCTTCAACTAGCTATCCGTAATGATGAAGAATTGAATAAGCTACTCTGCCACGTGACCATTGCCCAGGTAAATCCACTCGTAATTTATATCTGTGACAATTTGAAATGAATTTTCAAATGATTGTGAAATTTAATATCGAGGGAAACATTTAATGAAGCCTCACTGCTACACGATTTAACCATGTTCGACTTGGCCTCATTTGGAAATCTTGACAATATTCCCCGTTTAACTACAGAATGTATAAAAATGTCAAGAAAAATACGCCCTCTTGCATAAATTGTCGAATTCTCTAGGCTTATCAAGTTCTTTATAAGCCCTCGATGTGATAAATTTGTTATTTAAGAAAACAACTTTGTTGAAACCTGTAAGCGAATGGCCTATAATTCAAGGCAAATGGATACCCCATTTTGTGTGAAAGTCTACTCATTAATGCTTCCTAATGGAACACAAAGTCTGTCTTTGCATTTCTTGCAGGGTGGAGTCATGCCCAACATCCAGTCGGTTCTGCTTCCCAAGAAAACTGGCAAAAACAAGGGTCCACCAAGCCAAAGTGTGGAATTCTGAGAGTACAATAAACCCGACTTGCAACCTAGGGACATTAATTTTGTCACTCGATTTACGGGTTTGAATCTAACAATGAGACATTTAGATTTATCTCTTTGATCTAAAAAGTGCTTTCACGCTTTGCCATAGTTTCACTTAGAAATTAAGTGCAAAGAATGCCAAACGATTTACACGTTTTTACTTCACTAAGAAATTAAATTTAGCCAGGAACAGCCTTAGAAAGATAAATTTACAGTTGTACTGGGAACTTGTATCGACAGCAATGTTTTTCCAAACAAATGGCATTACCATTTCAAAGGCATTAGTATAAGCATTTAACAGGACTATCATTAATGGTTTTATCTTCTGTATAGTTGTGAAAATTTATCATTGTTTATTTTGTGTTTTAATGTAAATAAATCGAAGTCGTAAATAACCCGTGGCATGTTTCGTGCGTCTTCATTCAAATCGGTATGATGTCGTGACTCGGATATTTCTAAATTTCGCTGTAGATTTATAATTGCAACTTGGTCTGAAAAGTATCCAAGTCTTGGTTTAGCTGGAGGAATGGATCTTTCAATTCTAAAAGGTTCATAAAAAAATGAAAATAACTTTTCCGATTCACAAACTACTTGATGTTGGAATCTATATAAAGCCATCGGACTTGCAGACATGAATTGCCATAAAGCGCAGCTAAAAGTCGTAATAGTTGAGTTTAGTACATGTACAGTATTAAAGTTTCGTGGAAAAGTTCCGAGCTGGGAGCTTAATTCTTACATGCTGATGTTGGACAAAGGTCACTGTTCTTTTTCACGAAGGGTAATAAAATGCCTTGAATGTCGACCTGCAGCAATCAATTACGAGCAACGAACAACTTCCCTAAATCTGAGCAACCGCTTTGCGAACAGTCAATTGTGTCAATATCGCACTATCAATATTGAACTTATTGTACTCGAAGACAGCCTTGCAAACAACACTAATGGTCGGCCATTAATGAGAGCAGTATTGATACGGCTATAGCCGGGTAATAAATAGTTGAACATTAACCCGAAATATTATGGTGGAATGAACTGTGCAGCGTATTATTTGGAAGAAGGTGGCCAAGTTTTCTGATCTAGTTTATACTAACCGGACTTCAGGTGTACATCGAGCGTTGTCTGTCCGAAACGATTGTCCTTGATGATTACAGCCGCAAGGGCGTTGCCATGACGCATTTTGAAGGCACGTACAAACTGAAATCCAGCGATAATTTCGATGTTTTTCTGTGTGCACTGGGTAAGTTTGACAGTTACAAATTATATAGTGTATTGAAGTTACTGTCGCTTCTCTCTTAAACCTGCAGTGAAATGTACAGTGCATAGCGTCGCGGGGATGCTAACATTTTTTAAAACCAAGTCTTGGTTTCGCAATTAGATGCTTTCATACTGTGAATCACGTCTCCCAACTTTTGGAAAGTGATCGTCAACTTTAGATTTATCGATATGAATTACTTACAAGTGTTGCCATGTCCTCAACATGTTTCACTATTTTTTAATCCCCCAAAAGCATAAATTGAACGGTTACGTTCGCACCATATATTGGATTTTTGAGTTAGTTTTGGAAGGGAGAGGCATTAAGGAGCATGATTTCTGACACCAGGTCTACGTCGTCTCAGATCCAATGGTTAAAAATACCCTCTAAAACCTTCAACAACTACCGACAAGCCGGCACCTTCAGTCAAAGGGGAAGTTTTGGATAAACACAACATGTTTGTGTTGACCTCTTTGCTCTTTGTTGTGGCATTGTGTCAGAGTGCCTCGACCATCAAAGGTATCGAGATATTACCGTATGCCTCACCTATTAAGCGAACAAATTCAAATATTGACCATAATGCCAAGAGCTACAATGCCATCGTTTTGTTAGGATTATCTCTCGAAATACTATTGAGTGGGGACCACAATCGGCCACAAATAATAGAAAATACAAACGATGCTAGGCCTGTATGTCAGTCGTTGGTACTGCCAATGATTAGTTTCAATTCAAATGGTTGATGATGATTACTGTAATGACAATCATTGATCTAACTTAACATTGACAAAGACGGAAGATCCTTTGTCTTCTCCACCATTAGAGAAATGGTACTTATAATCAGTGTACCATGCTCACCAGACAGGAAAAAGTTGACCAAATGGCATGCATTAAAAGATTCACTTTGACCATCAAAACAACTGAACACCACTTGTTCATTGAAAATGACTATTACATCCGTAGTGCATCTCATGAAACAGATAACGTAGAAGCTACTTTGCCCTATTGATCGAGTTGTATAGCGATGCACTTCGACCCTTGCTGGCATAATTAATATCTAATTTACAGGTGCCGGTTCAGACAGTGTGGATACATCCACATAGTACTTTGTACTTTTTTAACATAGAATGTTTTGAAATCAACCAGTTTATTAATCAAGCAAAGAGAGTGCAATGGAATATGACCATTGATTTCTACAACTGCGTCTACTGTTGCATCTGTAGAGGTTAAGTGGGGTTCAAAATGGACAGGTGATTCCCCTTCTGAATCAGTGAAGCACACGATATTACTTTATTGTATCACATTGTAATAAAACTTTTTGCACATACCCGTCGCTCGGTCGAAATGCGAGTTCTGTTTGTGAGACTTGATAATGGACCGAGCACGGCGTGACAACCACAGGAAGTGATGGTGACAATAACAGTAACAGGCTTTCTCCTGCCGCTCGCTTCGCTAAATTTTCGTTACCTTGTAACTTTAACGACGTGTTTGGAGGGCGGAAGGTGTATGACATCATAACCCATAATACGTTTAATGTCCAATATTACGCTCAGGATGTGTGTGCGTTTTAATATCGTACGCCTACATCTATTATTATAGATACATGTAGGTGCTAGGCTGAGGACATATCTCCAGAATTTAAAACGACGATGCTATATGGAGTTGGCCAAGCATCTTTATTCTTCAGTTTTTTTTTATTTTTTTCTCTACACTTTGGTGAAAGGCTGACATCATGTCCAGTTTCAAAACAACAACGTTCTCTATAATAAGAATATAACCTTATTTTTTGTCTTTGTAATAAGTAGAAGAAATAACCACAACCAATTCGCTATGTTCGATGTCACATGTCATCCTTGTTACAGGAGTCAACCCCCTACTCCGTACAATCGGCAACTACACTAAGCCTACCCTCGTTGTCACAGTCACTAAAGATGGTACGCACTTCCTGTTCAAGCAGTCAGCAACAGCCTTCAGGAAGTACGATTTGGAGTTTGACCTTGGAGTCAACTTTGAGCACAGGACAGTAGACGGGAGAATGGTAAAGGTAAGTATGAACAACGATGATTTCAAGTTGACTGTAAGGAAACGAATATAAGGGTTGAAGAATGAAAGAAGGCAGATTAATTCTGTAGGTCCAATGGTATTATGCCCTTACACAACTCATCCTTCTCGTGTGTATTCATAATGTGGGCGTGCATGACCGTCATAGGTATTGCCCCCACTTATGGACCTTTTCACTAATAAATTCATAATTATGAACGCACAAATGGCCTGGGCGCGGCAAGAAGCGTCAGTGGGCCACTGAAAATTAACAGGGGTGCAACTTTGATGATCATTTTCTCTCAGGTTTTATGGCGTTGTTCAGTTTTCTTCAGAAAATCCCATTAAGTCGTTTTTGCTATTAGTTTCCAATACAAGTGGAATTTTTAGTGCTCCCTAAATAGACTTTATAATCGTAATTTTTCCTGTGAGAGATCGCCCTTTCTTTTACTATGACCCCTTCCATCATAAGTAGTATAAATTACATCGTTAGTGTTCTTGGAGCCAACCTGTACATTTGTAAACACGTATTTGTACATACGTACATTATTCTTTGCACTTACAGAGCACAGTAGTACTGGAAGGTGATGGACGGTTAATTCAACGAGACAAATGCATTAATCCAAACGATAAAGACACCACATTCATACGCCAAATTAATGAAGATGGAGATTTAATCATGGTGAGTGTAAAATGAGCTGGGTACATGTCCTACGTCCATTTTGGCATTCACTTCAACCCAAAATTTAAAAAAAATCCACAAGATAAATGTTTAAATTCTCATGTACATGTACCTGCTGAAATAATTTCTCTCTTTCGAGCCAGATTTGCAATTTTTAGTGTTAATCAATGAAAAACAGCAAAGCGAATTATGCTTCCCCTTGGGTAACATCAAATTTTGATTTTATGACATGATTACTGTATGGCGAATTAAAGCCTCATTATCTTTATTTCCAGATCTGCCAAGTTGACGAGGTTTCCAGCACACGAATCTACCAAAGAGTTTCAAAGTAGACTTTAGCAGGAATTTTGTTTTCCAGTGTCACATAATCAGCATCTGAAGTTTTACTTGCAATACAAAATAACTTGGAAACCTTTTGGTATATAGGCCTGTATAAAGTTGGCTTTCAAGTATACATCCAATTTTTTGTCAGCAGTTGAACTTATTATAACAGTAACCTTTGGAAAATGAGAAATTCTGCCAAATTTAAGTAAACTGTGCCAAGTAAATTGTGTGAAATAACATTTTAAACGCTATAATTTTGTTGTATTTATTTCAGTAAGTGTCGACAGACTGCACAGAGGGAGCTACAGGCTCTCAGCTACATTTCCGGGATTGTCGGATATCATTAGAGTTTGTTGATGCTTCTGTCGAAGCTTTTATCGTGGCCATATAAAATAGCGCCCTCACAGAGTGACTGAGAAAATAATTTGTTTTACTTGTGCGCAACGAAGGAGGAGTAACACTTACTCAATGTAGGCCTGCACAAGGAAATCAACCAATGGCGTAAATCCTAGGGATGCAGTATATCCCTATTTTGTGACCGAGGGATGGACTAGTGAATCCCCCCCCGAAAAAAACGAAGGTGGATTATGAAGAATTTTTCGGACTTTCTAACAACCAAAATGTATTCAATATAACTTTAAAAGGGAGACCCGCCCCCCCCCAAAATAAATAAACCGTCTTGATGTAAGGCTCTGCAGGAATGTAACACATGTTACCGATGTACATTTGTGTCATGAACATCGCCCTAATAGGGTCATATGGTGTCGGCACGTCCCCGCTTTTCAAATTTCTATTGCCGGTTAAGTATCCCCGTCCGCAATGCCCCATCCCCTAATTGCTGATACATACACGTATTTACGCCTTTGAAGTCAGCTGTCGGAATTGGCGAGAAACTAAGACGGTTTTACACGATTTTTTCTTTTTAACAAGCTGACCAGTGTGATTTGTGAAGATTATTAGAATTGCTTTTCCTGTCGAAATGACACACTCCGAGTCTTAATCCTGCCAAATGAAACTGTAGATATGAGATACGATTTTTGTTGATACTTGAACTAAACAATTTACTTGCCTTTTACACTAGCAACAATCGCTTTCAATAGGTGGAAGTTATCCTATGTGTCCTAACTTTTTGTACAAACTGAGCTGGGCGTGTTCTGAGAATAAACGTAACTGAAGTTTAAAGCGTTCGAACATTTCTGTGGCCTCGGAAGAACTGTGTGTGATAAATCAAGCCTAAGGCCAATTAAGACCACTCTACAGTCTTTTGTTTATAGTAACCTCACACTGACGAAGAATTATAGCTGCGATGAACTGATCCTGGTTTAAAATGCACATATGATTATGGCAGCAAAAGTTAGGAAACACATCGATCAGGTTTTTCAATTACAGCGAGGTTACTGGAATAACATCTGATGAAATGAGGCAAATTAGTGTCAATTAGACAATTCTCAGAGGGCAAAGAGGATAAGAAAGAATTTCGACTTTGACTGCATTTAAAAATACGTACAAATGCACAGATCCTACGAAACCCACTTTTAGGAGGAGGGGTGTCTGAGGGACAGCATTCATCTGCCCCCTCTCAACCTGTCAACACCCACGCTGCTCAGCTCACTAATAAAGCATAAAGGCACTGACAATTAGGCTTTAGAATATTCTTAACTCATTTATTTAATTTAATGTTGGGGAGCATTTTAAAACGTAACTGGAGCTTGATCGTGTTATTGATGTCTGCTTCTCCGATCCTGAAGAACAAAGATACAAAATTATGAGTCTGACTTCACAACATCAAAGTCATATTGTGAATGCTGGAACCGCCGCAGATGGCCTAGGGTTCATAGAATTATGATAAGGCAAAAGTTAATGAAACATATTCAATGCGCGTCCGCGGTGCGTCATAATAATTGAATGTAACGCTTGCACGTACATGCACATGTACAGTTGCCTCCGCTCTCTGCCCCCATATTTCCGTTCTGTGCACATCCGCGTGTAGAGGATAGGAACACGGCAGCCAGCAGTGAGGTTGATCATTGAGTAGGTTGTGCATAATATCCGGTTGTGTAGACGCAAACCAGACTGAAGTGTCAAATATAACACAACCCACGGCAGTACGTACAGTACATGTACATGTACATGTACATCTACCGGTACTACCACGCCTAGTTCGACCATCTTTGGCTCGACTACCTTGTGTAGAGGCCAATCTCTGACCTGTATCCTTCGGCTCAGACTTATATTACTTGAATTCCTTCGTACGCGCAAGGTTCGCAGCTCTGAAATCTCAAGAGAGATAAAAGGTTCACCTCTGCATTCTCTGTAGTTCGGTCACGTATAACGTAACTACTGTACGCCTAAACTGATACCCAGGCACTGCATTCAGCGTGTGTAAGGAGTTTGTCCAGCGAAAGAAAATGGCGCAATTCAACGGCAAGTACAAGCTGGACCCTGACAACAGCCAGAATTTGGAAGAATTCATGAAGGCACTCGGTGAGTGAACATTCAGTGCGAGTTTGGTTGAATCAATTTAAATTGAAGGTATGGGCACGGTAAATTGTGGACGGTAGTGTATGGTGTCACATGCCAGATTTGGAACTGCATGCTTATTGCCTTTGTTTTAGTTTTTCCAGTTACATTGTGAAGGGAGGTTCGTGAAGTAAAGTACGCTGAACCATGGAGAAAGGAAAATTCCTTCCTCCATGGCTGAACATTCCTCCATGGTTGCGCCTCGGCTAATAAAAATACATGTACATTGGCTAAGGTGATGTGACTTACGGGTTGACACAATTTGTATGCACACATTCACAAACAGGTAGCCGAGTTAGGCCAGTTGAGATTATTTGTTTGGTTTACATCACCCAGCCTGTGAAAAAATCGGCGGAGCAGGAAATTTTTAAATTCCGCGTCTTTGCTTTCAAATATGAAGAATAGTGAACTATTGGTAATTTATATAGCAGATGGCAAAACAATCATGAGAACTTCCCCTGTCAAATTTTTCATGGGATGTCGTCTGTGTGTCCTTGCGCTGTGGCGTGGCTAAACAGAACAATGTCGCACGAACTGAATATGCTAATCCGGAAGACGTCAATAATTGAGACAATGATAGAATGATGTGAGTATATATTGACACAAAAACGGTATGAGCATCATAGGCACAAAAACTGAAATCATTTTGCTGTTTGAATGCACGTCAAAGGAACTTTGGTCGGAAGTTTGTCTGAAAAAAATAAAATTACTCGACTAAGAAAAGAAAACTATAGGCTTAAAGAGCCAGCAAGTCGTGAAAATCTTGTCAGGAGAGCGGCAGTATAAACCTAAAAAATATTTTAACTGGCCTTAAATAACAAAAGCTTTTTTAGGTAACATTGCTGCTTGACATCAAAAGATTGTAAACATGTAGGGCCAGAGTTTACCATTTTGTGTTGAAAAGTCACGCCATTGTGGAGTTCAATTCGACAGTTTGGAAAAAATATGGATTATGACACAATACAATTTTGACTGGAAGATTAGCAGGATTTTCCATTCCAGGTGAAGGGTAAGCATAGCATCTGTCTGTATTCTTTGACTTACGGATTTTGTTTTGGAGTAATTAAGTTTGTGCTTAACTCGCTGCTTAGTTAGGTTGCACTTGTAATCACTACACTTTGTTGAAAAAATTACCAATTAACTTAAATCACAAAAAACTGCTACATTTGATTTTATTGAGTGTGTTTTGCATACCATTTCACCCTTACCGGGGTATTCTGTGTAACTGGCTGCATTAAAAGCGGCATGGAATATGTACCCAGTGTTCAAGAATCACGTATCAATTATTATAATTGTTTAGGTTTATAATTTAAAGCCTTTACTACCTCAAGGTTGTCATTGCCGTGTGTAGTTTCTCCAGCCTTCTCGTCCTTTGGAGGCCCGTATGCGCGCATTTAGCTCAGTGAAATAGTGCAGTAACCCTATCAATAAATTACACAGGACTATATCCATACTGCATAATGCACAGTGGCCAGTTTGACATAACATCGGTTGACAGTAACTTTCAACCAGAATCATTTTACAGATAACGAACTAAAACTATTACAGGAACGCCAAAGTAATATCATTTATTCCATAAATAATCGTTTTACAATGAGATCAAAATAGATAAACCAATAATATTTCAATATTCGTCAGGGAAAACGAGCAGGGAGATCTCAACAGTCGACCAAATCACACTAACGCAATGCCGCTGTTTGGGAATTTAAGATTATTTCTAAAAATGCCACAGTTTAGTTTCAATAACACGGTGCATACGAACGAGGTTATCTGTAATCATTGTGTGATTCCAGGATAATATGATGTACAAATTCATTCCATCCCGTGTTGCCATGATCGATAATAATTACACACTGCTTTCCCTTTCAGATGGTGTTCATTAATATTATAAGCACTATGTTATAACACAGCTCGCACGCATTCGACGGTGAAACTGTCACAGACACAGTTCCATCAGTTTCCGTTCGTAAAATGACTACTGTGCAGTTATGGTGATTCCCCAATGTACGAAGTGCATATAGGGATAAGGTGCTTTCAATCACCAACAAAACCTACTGGTGGTGTGGTTATTCCCCAACGAGTGTAGTCAGGTTAGGAGTTGGGGATAGCAACGGTGGCGTAGAATTGGAAGGAATCTTCAGCAAAAAGTCATTGACTTTTTATGTGATGTATACTCTATGCCACAGGTGTGAGCGAAGAAATGCGTAAGATTGGTAGCAGTGTTGTCCCTGAAGTAACCATAGAGACGGCTGACGGCAAACACTTCAAGATGACTACAGTGACTACCTACACTACCGTTGTGGTTGAATTCAATCTGGGAGAGGAACAGGAAATAACCACGGCAGATGGGAGGAAAACTAAGGTCTGACTGTAGATTGAGACAGTCTGTCAAGACATGCACACTCACCCTGTTTTGAGATGAACTTAAAGAGCACCTCTAAGTAAAACAGGTTATCTCTAATTTTATCTGTTCAAATAAATATGGAAGCATCCAAATCGAACGCAGAGTCATTTGGCTTCAGAGCTTAACTGTAACAAATTTAAAAGGGTTTTTTTCCATGCTTGCCAAACAATAGCCAAAGGTTTATCCACTACGAACACAGGGCGAGGGTTCCCCTCGTGTTCTCAGTTTTCTCCGAATGACGCGATCTATACATTCAGAATTCACAACTTGGCATGAACAAAAATGCCCCTTTAAGCTTGTTATAGTTGCGCTCTGAAGACAAATGACATTGCGTTCGATTTGGATACTTTCATATTTTTTTGAACAAATAAAATCAGAGAAAACAGTCAATATTCCGTCCGGCCCGTTTACGCCCCTGAAATTGTTGTTTTCCCGAGTAAACAGCTAGACCTCGATATTTCGTTAGGACGTTCAGAGTGCAGGCACTGTGCTACAGGGAACCGTTAGGGTATTACGTATCCACCCATGACATGTGAAGAGCGCCCTCATGTAGAGCTTCATGTATCAAATATTTCTCTCGCCGTGACACACCTGTACTGACAGTATATGCATAAATGACACTCGTGGTAAAGGTTTTGTGATTTCAAACTGGCTGATGGTTCTTAAAATTTTCCCTTTTACAGAATGTTTACACCTTGGATGGGACTACCTTGAAACACGTTGAGACGCCAGCAGATGGGAACGGGCCAACGGCAACGTACAACCGAACGCTTAATGCAGCTGGAGATATTGAGATGGTTGGTGAAATTTTTGAAATTACTCGAAAAAGATGAAAAGCAAAGAGAACAGATAAATGCTTGTAACTTTCGATTTACCAAAATCTTCATTACTTTCACGCGGAAAAAGTCCTAAAGATTACAAAACGGAAGAGCTGTTGAGATCTCTTCGAATTCAAATTGTTCAAATTGACCACGGACGTGAGAGAACGATACAAGAAAGAGGTAATTCGTGACACAGAAGGACTGAATTTGAATTTGAACAATCAATTCACCCAACAGTTTTGATAGTGCAAAGTACTTCAATCAATCAATTACTGAACCTCCGTGCAGGTGTTCACATATATGTACCGTATTACCGCTCCAGGGAAATGGTGCTTGATATTAAACTGATACATGTAAGTCTACTGATGTTTCGTGAACGACTTTGCATACTTAAAGGTATCGGTGGTTACGCAGGCCAATGTCAATATTCAAATCAATTCATGTCCAAGTTGCTGTGATAAATTACACTTGATGGGATCGAACCACGCCACTTTGCAAGGCACGTGAATCTGCAGTGTGCATTAGACTAAGGTGAGATGGTAACGACGTCGATCACTCAATCGTCGATGTGAGGGGGGGGATGTCGACAAAGACAAACACATCTAATGGCTTCTGTAAAGCTGAAACCAAGTTAGCGCTTAGAAAGAGCAGGGCGTGGCTCCGTCCATACATCCTGGACCCATAGATCTTGGCAAGGAAATTTAAAATACCTTCTTCTGATGAAATGTCAGTATTGAGAGAAGAAAGAGATGTCTCTTTCCCGTGATGTTGTTCTTCTTTGATCGTTGTTCTTTAAATAGTATAAATTTAGTTATGCATGGGTTCAATTCCACAACAAGGTCTTTAATACCAGAATTCAACAACACGTCATAAGCTGCTTATATGTCCCCCGTCACCTGCATCTTTGTGTAACACTTTAAACAAATCAGAACTTTCTTTAATTTCTTTTTTTTTTCAGGTTATGACAACTGGTTCTGTTGTTGCCAAACGACTTTACAAGAAATTGTGATCACCAGGGCAATGAGTCAATGGAAAGTAGACCTGCATGATTCTAGTTATGGTGACTCATGACATGCATGAATTCTAAGTTAAAGACTGAAGTACGTTCAGTCCGAGGAACGTTTTTGTAATATGGGCGTTCACGATAGTGCGCCTCCAAGAGTAGAAAACAAACAAATCCAAGTGTCTTTTGTTATTATTCAATATATTCCAATATTTCCTGAGGGGCACTGCCCCCCCCCCGTTTCCATCGCCAATGACAGCAGGAGAGGACAGGGCTGACAGCGGGTTAGTAAAGACTTTATTCCTTTAAAGTGTACATAGAATGAAACTTCCGTAACTTTGTACTCTTTCCAATGTATGAACGTTCTTTTTCATTGCCATCTATTGAAATGCATTGAAAAGTAATTCTTCACGCTTTTCCTGGACATCAGAGGGCGCAGTTGCTGTGATGTCATCCAGGAAAGACAGAGTTGCGAACCGAGAATTTACTTACTGAAAAAACATTTCTGAGAAAGGGATAAGTACTAATTACTACATACAGAAACGGCAAAGCATATGCAAAGAAAAGACATTGTTCTTGGGATGACGTCATAATTTTGTTCATAAGGACATACTCGTTAGCAAGTAAGAGTGTAGCATTAATCGTGATTATACGTGAAATGACTATTTATCTTGACCCACAGTTTACTGAGCCAAGCTGATAAAGATTTGCCAATGACTCGTTGTCAGGGCAACGCGGTCAGTAACTTGTCCGCAGTTTTTGGAATTGATTTCGAATCCTTTGGAATCGAGTCTCAAGTTCGTACGTTGAACATTACAGTAACGATTCTTCATTGAATGAAATTTCTTAACACAACGGTGTTAAAGTTCAGTGCATTTTTTGTGGTTTTCTGATCTTCACTACGCATTAAAAATTGCCCAAATGTACACTGATTGTTCAGGAAAGGTAAGACTGTTAAGACGATTAGTAAAAACTTCCTTCCATGAGCTTTATAATTATACAGGAAGAAACAGGAAATTTCCATGTGGTGGGTAAAAAATGCAAACATTTGCCTGAGCAATTGTTTAACATTTGGTTGGCAGGAAATTACACTAACTTTAATGCTTACCTAGACAGGGACACTCGAGGGAATGATAACAAAGATCTTGGTATATACCAAGGAAAAGAAACCGATGTGGCTACAGAGAAGCTATGTTTAATAAAAGGCACTTAAATATCAATAGTTCAGTGTTGACTACGTCCATTGGTCGATGTTTATATAGGCAAAAACTAGTGACACAGTGATACTAAGTATGGTCAATATAGCGGAGTGAGTCAAGAGGTGTCTGACTTCCATCTTATCTGGTTACGTTACTCGGACTTCAGTATTAAGCAAACAAAGCCTTTTACTTAGCAATGAAATGTGCATGCCCATGCGTTTAAGTACTGCGATCAGATCAGCGAAGCGCTAAAACTGTTTTTCATCCACGTTTGCGCACCCCGAAACAGACGTCATAGTTTAATCTGACCATTGTAATGCATTTCGGCTGGTAAACAGTTTAGCTGGACAGTTTTGTGGATAAATATGCACAGCATGCAGCTTTGTGAAATCGCCCCTTCTATCAAATAACATTAATTTTCTCCAGTAATATCATAAATTGGTACATCTGGCGTTCCGTACACCTACGGCCCTCAGCCTCACACAGTAACAGAATACATATACATGTACACTGTACCTCCCATGACATGCACATAGCGCAGTGTCTCGCTGAGCAAAGCAGTGCAATATAAACATCAATTATCAATTCGTCATTACTTTATCATTGTAATTAATAATGCTTACTAATACAGCACCAACGCGCTAAGCTTTAAAATATTCTTGACTCCTTTATGTAATTAAATGCTGGAGCGCATTTTAAAACACGGCTGGAGCTGACGTAAGCTAATTGTGTCAATGTCTGATTCTCCTAAAGAACGAAGACAAAAATCACGGAATCTGATTGAACAACGTCCATTTGTGAATGCATAAACTAGCACAGATGGCCTAAGGCTCATTACATAAAATTATTACAAGACAAAATTAATTAACTGAGCTAAATGCACCGTGGTATTATTGAACGGTAATGCTTTTACAGTAAAGTTACAGTACAGTACAGTTGTCTCTGCTCTCTTTCCCTTTATTTCCGTTCTGCGTACATCTGCGTATAGGATGAACGCGACATTCAGCGTTGATGTTGATCAACGAGCAGCAGTACGTAATATCCGGATGTGTAGACGCAAACCAGACTGCGATGGTGGTTACTCTGATCACAACTGAGAGCGGTACGTTCCATTGCGCCTGGTGTAACTCGCTAGTTAAGTCGAACCCCCTTGGAAGGGAAGCAGGCAGGTCTGAGATCTCTATTTTTGTCAACACATATCCGTATACGCCCAAACTGATACCCAGGCACTGCATTCAGCGTGTGTAAGGAGTTTGTCCAGCGAAAGAAAATGGCGCAATTCAACGGCAAGTACAAGCTGGACCCTGATACTAGTGAAAATTTGGACGAATTCATGAAGGCACTCGGTAAGTAAACAATCGCCCAAAGTATGGATATCAAAAGTATGTCCGGAATCTTAGTACGTACTTGTGTATATGTCATGTATGATTTGGAGCTGCAAGATGACTGTCTAAGGTTTTTTCTTTTAGTATTCCCCGTAAAATCAAAGAGATTCAAACGCTAGCAGTTTTTACAGTTGTATAGGCCTACCATAGGGGAACATGGCTGAGCAGTGACTCATAAAAACGGTTGATCTGTACCACCTGATGCGAATAAGGGTTCACATGATTTGTAATCATGTCCCTATCGCAGCTACTTCTAACCGAGTTAACTCACTTATAAGATGAATTTTCGGTTAATACTATGATCCAGCCTATGAAAATTGGGATTTTCCATTCTAGTCACTGTAAGCATGGCAAATCTGTCTATTATTGATTGACTTGAATACCGATTGTATTTTGAAGTACATTTGTGCTTAACTCACAGCTTATACATGTAGTAACTAGTAATCACTACATGTTGAAAAAATTACCAAGATAATTTAAATTACAAGGAAGCTGTCACATTGATTTATTTGTTTGAATGTGTTTTGAAATACCATTTTACCCTTACCGGGGTACTCTGTGTAACTAGCTGCATTAAAAGCGGCATGGAATATGTACAAAACGAAAAACACGTGTGCCCCCCAGTGTTCAAGAATCATGCGTCAATTATTATAATTATTTGGGTACCTTATTATTCAAAGCATTTACTGCCGCAAGGTTGTCACTCTGACGTGTATAGTTTCTCCAGCCTTGTAGTTATGACTTGGAGGCCCGTATGCGCGCATTTAGCTCAGTGAAGTGGTGCAATAACTCTATAAATAAATTATATAGGACTGATGGTCATATTGCATGGTAGCCAGCTCGACATGTTATCGATTTAAAGTAACTTTCAACAAAACTAATTTTCAGATAACGTCCTAGAAATTGCACAGGAACGCCAGAGTAATATCATTTGGTAATTAATCATTTTACTGTGAGATCAAAATAGATAAAACATTAATATTTAAATATTCGTCACAGAAAAAGAGCAGAGAGATCTTAATTAAAGTAGAACCAACTCACGCTGACGCAGTGCCGCTTTGGGAACGGTCAAGATACAAGAAATTTCACAGTTTCACTTGAACTAATAACACGGTGCACATGAAACAGGTGTACTGCAGTGTAATCATTGAGTGATTCCAGGATAATAACATTATGATACACACATTCATTCCAACCATGCCATGATCCATAAATATTGCACACTGCTCGCCCTTTAGGCCTACAGATGGTGTTCATTATACAGGCACTATTTATTACCAGCTCTAAAGTGCCTTCGACGGTGAACCCCGTCATAACTCATGTCACTGAATATTTCAGATAAGACACGGTTCCATATCTTTGATTCCAGAAGAGTTCTCTGTCCTCGCGAAAAAAGTTCAGTTCTGAATAGGCCTTAGTTGAAGTGAAGACAGGTTAAAGCTTACAATAAGGTTTATATTACTCGGACGAATATAATCTATGGGGCGGATAATTTATATTTCACATTTTATAAATTCTTCGTCATTACATCCAAAGTGAATCAAGGGTATAATACTATAGTATAATACAAAATACTAAGCATTAAAAGCTTCTTCATATTTTACTGGATGGCACGCTGAACAAATTGAGTTTACTGTTACAATATGCGAAGGGCAGTCATTAGTCACAAGCCATGAAAGAATTAATGCTGTGTAGCCATTTGTCGACAGTGAGGACAGATCGATGCAAGGTTTTTTTCAGTGTCAATTAAAGCAGAATTTTCAGGTACAGTTTTATTTATCATTAAAGCTGCACCTTCGGCTGTTTCGAAAAAATTAGGTACGGGCCATTTTGCCAAAAAACAGCCTGAGTACCGGTAATTTTCCATTTGAATGTGATTTATGCCTTGCAATGGTGATTTCAGCCACGTCAAATAGTCGTTGCATACACAATCGTAACCAATGTATTAAACGTAATACTTTAAGAAAAAATCCTTCTACTTACTAAAGGAAGATCCGAAGACACAATGAAAAATCTATATTCTCTGTACGAAGTTCCAATAATGTGATATGTAAATAGTCTAATGTGCGTAGACTTATTTCCAGTTGGTCAAGTTCCTATACCGTTCCAGCATGGAATGATATTTTGCGTACAGAACTTGTTTTTCACCCTGTTAACATTCAACGGGGAAAACAAAACGACAGAAAGTCTCCAAAAGTATGTGAATTCCCTCCCCTGTCTGTGGTCTGGATCCGCTCACAGGAGTTATCAAGAGGGCATTGGTAGAGAAAGTAATGTCTCCCTTACTTCATGTCATAAAAATGCCTACTGAGCAGGTATGGTAATCCCCTAACGTGCCGAGAGTAGTCAGGTTACGTCAAGGGCCAGAATGATAAGTGCATGCGACAGAATTGGAGGGATTCTTCTGCAAAGGTAGTGACTTTTTAAGTGATTGATACTCTACGTCACAGGTGTGAAAGAAGAGTTTCGTAAGATCGGTAACAGTGCTGTCCCTGAGGTAACCATAGAAACAGCTGACGGCAAACACTTCAAGCTTACGACAGCGACAACCCAAACTACGGTTGTGGTCGAATTTAATCTGGGAGAGGAACTGGAACTAACCACACCAGATGGAAGAAAAACTAAGGTTTGACTGGAGAAAGTACATCGAGACCCATGCTGAAACTGTTTCATTTGACATACATTTAACAGTTAACGCTCCTAAAATTGTTTTCCTGAACAAGCAGACTAATAAAAATGATACCGTTTGATGACAGTTTCAAGAGCTACGCTAAGCAAGCGTTGAATGTGGCAAACGAATAGCGCCCTCATGCTGAGTTCAAGTTATTAAAGAGCACCTCTAAGGAAAACATGTTTTCTCTGATTGCGTCTATTCAAATAAATATGGAAGCATCCAAATAGAACGCAGTGTCATTTGTCTTCAAAGCTCAACTTTAACAAGCAAAGTAGGGATTTTTTTCTGTTTATGCCAAGATGCGAATTCTGAATGTAGATTGCGTCATTCTGAGAAAACAGAGAAAAGGGGGAACCTTGTGCATGCCAAGCTATGCATGTAGGTATTGTTTGACATGCACAAGAGTTTCAGAGAAAACATGTGTTCCTTAGAGGTGCTCTCTTAAACATTTCTTTCACGATATCAACTGAGTTCGGCCAGCTAGTTCTCGTTTGTTCACGATCAGCTCGATGTGTTGTTCGTGGGTCAGCCACTCCAACGCCGGGAGCATACAACCGGTTATCGATAGTTAGTGGCAAGCAACATGCAAAATGGCGGCGTCCACGTACCTTATTCAACAGTTAATGTTTGGATAAGTGGGCTGAATTCTTTTTTATTTAAACAGGAACGTTCATTTCTGGGTTATGGAAAATAATTAATGATCATTTTGCAAAACTTCCCATTGTCTCTGGCTTTGTAAGCTATCTCTCTACTTATTGTGCATGGCTTTTCAAAAATCCAAATCTCACGAGTTTTTCCGTGTGTTCGTGCAAAACCCTCACGAGGAGGTGGTGTGTAATCCCGTTCCAAGAACAGTATTCCTGCGTCGTGTTCCCGCCGTTCGAGCGCGAGAACAAAAACCCATGTCAAGAATAGGCCGGCCGAACTCGACTGATATTTACTGCAACAAATCTGCAATGACAATAAATTGCATAATTTTGTAACTGGCACTTGTGAGAAAGGTTTTGTGATTTCACACTGGCTGATGGTCGTTCTTAAAATTTTCCCTTTTACAGAATGTTTACACCTTGGATGGCACTACCTTGAAACACGTTGAGACGCCAGCAGATGGGAACGGGCCAACGGCAACGTACAACCGAACGCTTAATGCAGCTGGAGATATTGAGATGGTTGGTGAAATTTTTGGAATAACTTGAAAAAGATGAAAAGCAAAGAGAAGATATTGACCGAAATCTTCAATTCTTTGATGTGGACAAAATAGGAAAAGTCTCATCTTGAGGACGCTGTCGAGATCTATTCCACTTTCGGTTTACAAGATACAAGAAAGGTAATTGGTGACAAAAAATATCTGCATTCGGGCGACCAATTTATCAGACAGAATGACAGGGCAAGTTAGTTTAATCAATTAATTATTGAAACTCTGTGCAGGTGTTCACTTCGCGCATTACAGCTTGAGAAAATTGTTTTATATTCAACTGATAAGTTTACTGATGCTTCGTGTGCGACTTTGCACTCTTAAAGGCACCTATGGTTACACAGGCCAATGTCAATATTGAAATCAGTTCATGTCCAAGCTGCTAAGATAAATTCTACTTGATAGAAACAAATCACGCCACTTCGCAAGGCACGTTAAATAGCAGTTTGTATTAATTTAAGGTGAGATAGTAACGACGTCGATCACTCTATCGTCGGGGGCAGGGATGTTGACGAGGATCAGCACACCTAAGGGCTAACTGAAACCAAGTTTAGAAAGAGTGGGGCATGACGCCATCCATACATCCTGGACATGAACAGTTTAAAATGCTTCCTTCAAAATGAAACGTCAATATGGAGTCAAAGAGAAAAAAGGAATGTCAGTTTTCTCTGTTGGTGTCTCTTCTTTGGTCGTTCTCCTGTTAATGCGTATATAAATATACCACTGTCCATATCACCTTGCTCTATTTCAAATAGGTAACCACACATTTTCGTGCCGACTGGTCTTCGCTTGGTATGGTTAAGACCAATAACCCCCGAGTTAAAAAATGTGTCATCAGTTGCTTAGGCATGAATTTTTCGCCTATGACATACATTTGGGTGAAATAATTAACAAATATCAGAATTTTCACTGCTTTTTAGGTCATAACAACTGGTGCTGTGACTTCGACACGACTTTACAAGAGACTGTAATCACCAGGGGAGTGAGTCAATGGAAAGTAGATATGCACGATTCTAGTTTAATGGTGACTCATGCCATGCATGAATTACGAAGTTAAAGATTAAAGTACGCTATATTACCAAACCCTACCTATCAGTCTGGGGTACCATACGTTTTCGTAATAGAACAGAGGATTGGCCTCTGTAAACTCGAAAGCGAGAAACATAGAAAACGAATGAATCCGTGAGCCTTTTACTACTCAGTTTGTTTCGATTTGTGCACATTCTAGACTCATCAACTTTGAACATTCGTCTCGGGAAATGTTTGGTAATTAAGTTGTACTGTTTTAAAGGTATATATTGGCTATAATTGACGGGATGGGCAAATAGTGAAAAACTAACTCTCCAAAAAAGTACCGGTAGAAAAGTGAAAATCCACTCCAAAAGAGTGAAAACCCACTCCAAACAAGTGAAAATCCACTGCAAAAAAGTGAAAACCCACTCCAAACAAGTGAAAATTACTCTAAAACAGGAGCCATATAAAGGACAACTCTTTCTCGGATTGCCCTTTATATGGTTTCTTTAGAGAGTAGAAATTCACTCTTTTGGAGTGGTTTCACCCTTTTCAGAGCGGTTGTCACTTTACTGAGAGTGGTCTAATACGGGACTTACTCTTTTTTAGAGTGATTTTCTTTTCACTCGTCTGCATAAACACATCTTCCATCTGGAATTAAGTGCATGTTTGTTTCACGTTGACCACTGAACAAAAAAAAAACTATATATTCTTCTCCATCTACAAACTGAATGATCGAAAGCATGGCCTTTCCTTAATTTGATAAAAACGGATAAGACATGAATTTTGCATGGTGGAGATAGACTAAAGGGAGGGCTTGTGGTAACACCATGTGGATAGGTCTCTTTTTTTTTGGAAGAGGTATGGTTCTGATAAGAGCCTGTGAGTGTTCTCACTCGTGATGAGGATGACCATAGTGCAACGGCCGAAACGTCGAGTACGCTATCACCAGTTCTTAACAGAACCATACCCGTACCTCTTTAAAAAGAAAAAAAAGGAGATCTATCGACATGGTGTTACCGCAAGCCCTCTCTTGATAAGAAACACTTTCTGTAGTATATTATTCATATAACTTTTGTGTCTAATGGTTGTTATGAGTGATGTACATGTGTTTGATATGTCTGATTACCAAAAGCTCGGTTTTCGTATTAAGGATACTTCACAGACACTTTTGAACTTCATTTAGACAGGTGCAAGATACTTCGAAGTATTGATAGTTGGTTTATGGATCATTTTGAACATGCAGTTATCTCTAAGAGAGCAGGAGAGGACGCTGATGACACCACGGGCTAGCAGAGGGTTTATTCCTTTAAAGTGTTGCTGCAATGAATTTTTCTTTAGATACAATTTCTCTGAAACTTTGTACTCTTCTTCGATGTATGAAAAGTCTTTTCCATTTCGATCTGAGAAAAAATACACTGAAAATTGTACTTTGAAATGTTTAACACTATCAACCCTTTCCTAGAGAACTGAGGGCGCTGTTGCTGGGATGTCATTCAGGGAAGACATATAGTTCAGTGCATAGGTTTTCTTCTGTTCAAATTGAAAACCGAGCATGCACTCAGTGAAAGCATTTCTAAAAATGTGATTGATGCTTATTGCTATGTACATAAATACCAAAGAATCAGCAAAGAAAAAAAATTTCTCCTGGGATGACATCACAGTGTTGCTCATGAAGAAAAAAAAATATTAGCATACAACGAAAAGAGCAGTCAAATGGGCTTCAAAATAGTGAAATAAAAATTAAAAACAAGGTTGACTGAGACAGAAAAGAACATTATGAATGTTTGTATTAAAAGATAATTGATCGCTGATTCCCTTTAATTGTGGTATTAATTGAGGTTGGAATTATTGAACCGTGTTTGAGAATTCTTTTTCCTCTTCCTATTTCTCTGCAGTCTTGCCCACACTAGTCAGCTGAGGTTACACATGTATATCGTCGGTCAAGCTAGGATATGGTTTAAAGATCAGTCACATCGATAATTCACAATAATTGTATTTCACTTTTTATGAAATTTAGTACTACTTTATTATAAAAAGACGAAAAGGGCAGAGTAAGAAAAGCACAAAAGCTCTCAGTTACCATCTAGCAACCCACACAAACCCGAAGCATTAAGTAAAAACCATGTAGAAAAGAAAAATAAAGCCATGCATGAGATAAATCATGATCCAATGAAAGAAGGAAGTTATTTGCCTTCTCTTTGAAAGAATGGACGTTGCCAGCTTCACATATCGCACCATCCAAAGGGTTCAAAAGTACAACGGTACTCGGTAAGAAGCAGCGTTGGTGCTGGTTAGTACGGCATCTCATCAGCTGTAGACTATGCAGATGCATAGTAGATGAATTAAACGATCTACAAACGTAAAAATCTAAATAAAGATTGATACTGACGTCAAAAGCACGACTTGAAGTTCTCCCTTCATATTAGGCAAAATGAAAACAAAAGTCGTTGGGAGCATCCAACAGAAACCAGTTTTTATGACGTCACACTACGACTCTGAGATTATACGACTGTTTCATTATTTCGGGCGAATGCGCCCGCGCTCATGAGGGCTGTGCTTACTCGAACTTAACTGTGAGTTAGATAAGGTCGGTCACTGAGAGCGACTTGGGAACTGATTTTACGTCGACAATGTTGATCTGACAAGTCAAGGTAATGTCAACACTAGATCATATGATTCAGTTGAGTCGTCCCAATATGAACCGGAGAAAGGTTCCGATGAAATTCAGGCAGATGGCTGCGGTCATTTGCCGAGAATGACCGGCAAGGAAACTAACAGCCTATTACGACCGCAAGGTCAAGAAACTTTTGGGCAATGAGAGGCGTATTATCACATCATTGAATCGCTAGATTTGTTTGCTGTCCCGAACGACGCATTTTTTTACTCTGAGCATTCTCAGAATGGAGCTGAACTCCCCAAAATGACTTTTTTTACAAATGCGAAGAGATGCTGCCCAGTTAGTAATTATATAGATAATAATAACCAATTCCCTATTTAAAAACCGTTTTGCATAAAATTAGTGAGACTGATCTTTAATTGAAAACGTTACCAATAAAACTATCGTTGACACCACGTGATATCGACACGGGTTCAAAGTGTAGCATTAATCGCGATTATACGTGCAACGACTGTTTGCTTTGCCCCAAAGTTTACTTAGCCAATCAGATAAAGAATTGCCAATGACCTGTTGTCAGGGTGACGCGGTTAATAACATGTCTGAAGTTTCTGCATTGCTCACTTAGTATAAGCAACAGCAACTTATGATAAAATTATTTCTGGATTATTATTCAAAATTTAGTCGCAAACTCATACTTTGTTCAGTGTACAGTTACGTTTCTACATCAACTGAAATTTCTTAAAACCACGGTGTCAAAGGTCAGTGCACTCTTTTGGTTGTCTATCTTCACTACGCATTAAAATTTCTCGAATGCACATTGGTCGTTCAAAAAATGTAAGACTTTTTCGATTCAAGGACAACAAGTAAAAACTTCCTCCGATGAGGTTTATATGGGGAGGAAATAGGATATTTCACATGGTGAGTAAAATGCAGACATTTGCCAGAGTAACTGATCAGTGCTTAATTGGTTGGTAGAAAATTTCAGTAACATTAATGTTTACCGAGATAGGAGCACACAAAGGCGATGATATCAAAGACACTGGTGTACTAAGGGAAAAAAGCCGATGTGGCTACTGAGAAGCTACATTGAATAAAATGCACTTTAAAATCTATAGTGTAGTGTTTACTTCGTCGATTGTTCAATGTTTATCTGGGCAAAGATTAGTGGCGCTAATATAGAGGAACCAAGAGGTGTCTGACTTCAAAATTATCTGGTTATATGACTTGGACTTCAGCATTAAGCAAACATAGTCTTTACTCAGCGATTAAGCGTGCAATCCAACGCATGCGTTTAAGAACGACGTTCAGATCAGTGAAGCGCTGGAATTATTTCCCATCCACGCATGTGCACCTCAAAACAAGTGTCTTAGTTTGATGTTACGCTCGTAGCTGATCTGTCCGTTCTCGGGGTGTGTATATGTTAGCAAGTATTAAAATCACTCTGGTAAAGTCCAAATGTAAGCAGACGGAATCCCACCGGCACAACAGTCCAGCACATAACACGGTTTCAGGGGGATATCGCTCGCGTCAGAGCACCTTTTCGATTGACTTAAATACACCGATCGCAGCTGAGGTATCGTCTTCATATTTAAAGACTTAACATAGCAACTCTTTGCTTCCAACTATGGCTCAATTCAGTGGCAAATACAAGTTGGATAACAGTGAAAATTTCGAGCAGTTTATGCAAGCTCTAGGTAAGTTTTACTAGTTAGGCCTTTTAAAACGTGGAAGCAATCGCATAAAATTGATGTATTGTGAGGTTTTGATATAGATGGAACGTCTAAGTTCAGAGTGTAATCCGACATGCAATATGCAATCATGCACGAGTAAAATGGATTTCCTCTACTTGAAAATGCACATTCAGAAACATTTTTCTCTTTTTCGATTGAGATGCGTTTCATGAAAGCGTCAATTAGCGACGATGTGGTCGACAAGCCTCATAAATATATTTCTGAAAGAACACACAATTTTG